CCGGCACCCCGTCCCATCTCCCTGAGCAGGAACTGGGCCTGTGCACAGGCTCGGAGTGGGCAGCAAAGGTGTGTACGCCCCGCGGAGAGAGACTAGCCTGTGCGTCCTTGGGGGCGTCGGGGCGGTCTGTGCAGTCTGCCCCGCCTCTGTGCCACCGCAGCTCCCTCTGCCCTTCACAGGGATGTGGGAGTCAGCCCTCTGCCTCGAGGGAGGACAGCGCACTCTGGTCATTGCCGGGCTGCAGGAGAGCTCTGTGGATGCTGTCCTCGTCCTGTGCCTCGGGCAGGCGTGCGCACAGTGCGGGGCAGGCGCCTGCGGTCCGGGGAGTGTACGGGCCTTCCTGCGAGCTCAGGTCGGGCCAGGCCGGGCCGGCACAGCGCTGCCGTGGCTGGCTGACACCACTAGGTGCCTGTGCCAGGGCAATTGGGCTGCACCCAGGCTGAGGAGCGGCCCTGTCCTGTGGGAGACGGGCGTCAGCCCAGTGGAGAGGGTCAGAGCCGGGGTTGGCAGCTCCCCTCTTCTCCTGCGGAGGCCGTTTATCCCACCCTGGGTTCCTTTGGCTCTTTGGTCAGTGGCTGTTCTGGGAGCCCCTGATGACTGTTCCACTTCCTGTCCCAGGCCCGGTTGCTGGGTGGTGAGACGATTGTCGGGGTGTGTTTGTGTGTGTGTGGTGTTCCCAGGCAACGGCCGCAGCCTAGAGACGCAAAGACTTCCTTTCCCCCAGCACTGCCCACACCTTGCACGCGGCCTTGGGCAATCTGCTGGGCCATGCTGCAGCAATGAGCCCGAGGTCGCGGGCATTTGAATTTGTTTATCAAATGCAGGTGGAAGCAAATCTGAAACCAGAGGTTCAGGCCCTACCCCTGGATGTCCTTGCGCAGAGGTGTAGATGGTGGTGTAGGCCCTCCTGGGGACAGGGCCTGAGGTCACGCTGATTCTGCAGTATCTGGCCGCTCCTCGCAGGCCCTTGGCCTTGGGAGTGAAGTGACCCTGACTGCAGGGGGCGGTGTGGGGACTGGAGATGGCAGCAGCTGGGGGTCTGGTGCTGGTGGGAACTTGAACATGTCAGGGGCGTGCAGAGCCCTGGATGGGCCAGCTGTGCAGAGGCGAGCACTTGGCCTCTGTGGCCCTGGGCATGTCTGACAGGGTGCTGGCTGTGCTGGGCACACAGGGCGCCATGTTCTGGAAGTTTGACCTGCACACGAGCTCGCACCTGGACACGCTGCTGGAGCGGGAGGACCTGAGCCTGCCGGAGCTGCTGGACGAGGAGGACGTGCTGCAGGAGTGCAAGGTCGTCAACCGCAAGCTGCTGGACTTCCTGCTGCAGCCGCCCCACCTGCAGGCCATGGTGGCCTGGGTCACTCAGGAGCCGCCGGCCAGTGGCGAGGAGCGACTGCGCTACAAGTGAGCTCCCCAGAACCCTGAGCCCGGCCCTCTGCTCCTGCCGTCCCGGACCTCGCATGCACCTTTGCCATGTGGGCCGCTCAGTCACCCTGACCACAGCGGTCAGTATGAGGGATCGAGCAGGGAGCAGCCAGACTGTTTCACAGGAGAGTCTACGTTTCCTTTTCCACGAGTGAGACACGTCCTTCCCCCACCAGGGTCCTGATGCCACAGTCCACCCCCAGCCTCAGCCAGTCCGTCTCCGGGACTCGTCCCCGTTCAGAAAGTTCTTAGACACAAACCCAGAGTCTTGCCACGTGCTCAGCCTTCCAGCGTTGTGTTGTGTGCTCTGCTGTGTTGTCAGCCAGCCCCACAATAGTCTTGTAGGTGTGTGTGCGTACTGGAAAGAGACAGACAGACACAGGGAGAGTGAAAGTGAGACGCCCCGGAGGGATGGCCATGCCACAGTCCCTTCTCTACTTCTCCGTCCCTTCAGGGCCCATCACTTGATGATATTTCTCAAGCCTCTGGATCCAGGACTACATATGTGTGGTTGGCCATGTGGAATCCATTCACCTGACCACGCAATACGTTTTTTTTTTTTTTTTTAAAAGGTTTTTATCATAGGGCACATGCACTCGCCAGAGAGAGAGTGAGAGGGAAAGTGAGAAGTCACTCCCAAGGTGGCTGGCCACGCTGCAATCCCTTCTCCATTCTCCTGGGGTTTAGGCATGGTTGCATGCATGCCAGCTTGACTCCCCAGCTGCCAGTTCTGAGACTTGAAGTGCAGCTGGCTTTGTGGAATCCAGTGGCTGTAACCACTATGCTACGCCACCAGCTGGCCCCCACAGTAGTTTTTTAGAGAGCTTTTTTTTGTTGTTACATAAATTAACCCATTTATTGTAGGCTAGTGATATTCCAGATGTCCATGGGGCTTCTACTGGATTTTCAGTTCCTTCAGTCTTCTGATGGCAGACTCCACTGTGACAGCCGAGGTGGTGGTGTAGGTCCAGGCACCACCAGCTACCGTGTTCATGTGGGAACCACAGGGCCAGGTCCCCACAGCCTGTCTCTTCAGCTTAGTTTTGCCACAAAAGGAGCAAGTGTACTTGGTATGCTGGCTCATTTCCATTTTCTTCACCATTTTCCGGAGGGAGGCACCACAGCAGGTCCCATATTTACTGACGATACCGACCTTGGTGCATTTAGCCGTATCGCCGCCAACTAGGTCTGAACTCAGAGAGCTAGAAAGCTTCTTATTACAGGATTTTCCAGATACACCTGGAGTGGGGACCAGCAGAATGAATCCCATGGCCTCTCTGTCAGCTTTAATGAGAAGTGGCATTTGCCAGTGTTGCTTTCTTTGGGTGATGGTGACACAGTGACACAGTGCACACCGCAAGAAAGAGAGCACACTCCCTCGGCACGGCCTGGGCGTGCTATGCCCCCTCTCCCTGCTCGCAGGGCACCTGCTCACTGCCACGCCTCAGTGCAGACCTGTCAGTGCGGTCTTATTCACGGACTCCCCCCAGCTTTTTTCCTTTGCTGCTTTTTTTCCCTCTGTATTGGGGTGAATGTGGAAGTGCTTGGGTGACACCTACGAAATCAGGAGGGCACCCCAGCCCAGTTCTGGTGTTGACACAGACCCATCCTGGGGGTGCAGCTCACCTTCACCCGTCTGAGAACAGCTGAGTATAATACAGGGTACCAAGAGGGCCAGCCAGGAGCACAGCAAGTAAGCCCTGTGCAGAGAAGCCTGTGTCCCCAGTGGCCAGTGGGTTCAAATCCTGGCTTGGCAAAGCAGACTCAGGACCCCAAGGATGGAGAGGTGGAGGAAGGAAGGAGGCCGGCACGACCGTGGCCAGGTCCCACCCAGGACCCCGAGGATAGAGAGGTGGAGGAAGGAAGGAGGCCGGCACGACCGTGGCCAGGTCCCACTGAGAGGTGGTCCCCCGCCCACCCCATGTGTGCTCTTGTCATGAACAAGTGTGTTTCAGAAACACTTAAGAGATCACACTACATAACTTTTATTACAGAATATATTGTAATTGGTCCCTCTCTTTACCTTTTTTTTGTCAGAGGGCGTGTGTGCTCATCATAGAAGGAAAGACCCCATTGGGCTACCGTCCTGCTGCAGTCATTCTCCTCAGTTCCTCAGGGTTTGGGCACACACATACGCACGCACGTACACACACACCTGGTGTGTTTTTCAAGCGAGTGGGACTGGACTAGAACTGTGGTTGGCCCTGTGAGCTCCAACTCCCTGGGCACAAGGCTCACTCATTGTGCTCCAGGAGAAGCCTCACTCTGTTTTTAGTTATTTTTTTTAAGCTCTTACTGTGCCTAATTTATGAACTAAAATTTTTTTTTGAGAGGTTTTTGCTTTAGGGTGCGTGCACTCGCCAGAAAGACAGACAGAGAGAGAGAAAGCGAGAGATCACCCCCCAGGGGGGATGGCCATGCCACAACCCCTTCTCCTCCATTCTCCTCTCGGGATCTTAGACACGAACGCACATGCGCTCAGCGTGAGTTTAAGCCACCGGGTCTGTGACTCGAACTGCAGTCGACTACTTGGGAGTCCAGCAACATAGCCATTATGCCAACTACTGGTCCCTTTATGAATTAAATTTTTATCATAGGTACACAAGCACAGGAGAAAGGGTTCAGTACTGTCCGTGGCTCTGGGCATCTCTTGAAGGTCTCGGGACGTGCTCTGTGTGGCTAAAGGTGTGTGTGTGTACACGCACGCATGTGTGCATGCACACTGCTCATTGTGGTAGCTCTGTGTATTTGCCACAGCAATTGGACGCTTCCGTCACAAGGGTCCCTCGTATGCTCATTTCTAACCGCACCACCTCTCCCCCACCCCATTCCCACCTTTGGCAACATTGGACGCTTCCGTCAGAAGGGTCCCTCGTGTGCTCATTTCTAACCGCACCACCTCCCCCACCCCATTCCCACCTTTGGCAGCTGCTAACCTGTCTTCAGTACAGTAGGTAACTTTCTAGAATTGACTTTTTCTAACCATAATTCTACGGAGAGTCGTTCTAGCTGTTGCTTGAAATAGTCATCCTTTTTTCTCTTTATTTTCCAGAGGACATGTGCACTCACCCCTAGTGGGGCAAGTTCATGCCGCCATCCCTTCCTTCTCTCTGTCCCTTTGGGATTCTGGGCACATACACCCAGCACGCTTTTCAAGCTGCCATAGCTGGGATTTGATCCACAGTCGGCCATGTGCGCTTGGTTTGCCTTAACTGCTAGGCTATGGGGTCAGCCTAGTGACTATCTTATTTTTTTTGAGAGAGAATTTGCTGGGACCAGCAGAAGGTGTAGTGGTTACATTGCCGGACTCCCACATAGTCAGCTGTGGTTTAAGTCCTAGACCTGGCAGCTTAAAACTCCTACTAGGCATGGGACCAGCAGTTGTGTAATGGCTATGATGCTCGACTCCCTTGTAGTCGACCATGGTTCAAGTCCTGGACCCAGTGGCTTAAACTCACACTGGGTACGTGTGCAGGTGTGAGATCCCCAGAGGAGAATGGAGGAGAAAGGATTGAGGCGTGGCTATCCTTTGTGGGAGTGATTTCTTGCTTTCTGTCTCTTGCTGTCTTTCTGGTGAGTGTACACACCCTATAGTAAAAACAAACGAGCAACAAAGAAAAAGCTCATATTAGGTGTGTGTGTGTGCACGTGTGTGCCCAAAATCTTGAGAGGAGAATAGAGAAGAGGGGATTGCGGCACGTGGCTGTCCCCCCTGGGGAATGATTTCTTGCTTTCTGTCTGGCAAGTGCATGCACCCTGTAGGAAAAATCTCTCTTAAACGAAGAGAGATTTTGCTGTAGGGCATGTGTGCTTGCCCCAGGCACAGAGACAGGGAAAGCCACCCCATGGAGATGGCCATGCTCCATTTCCTTCTCCTCTCAGGATCTTGGGCGCACATGCACACGTGCTGTGTAAGTTTCAAGCTGCCAGGTGTGAGTTTCAACCCACTGGGTCCAGGACTCAGACCACGGTTGGCCATGTGGGAGTCCTCAACTACAGTGCCACCTGCTGGTCCTGTCTCTTTTTCCTTTTGCTGAGACCCAAAGTGAGGTCCACCAGGACCAGCCTCCCTTACCGCATGGAGTCGTACATTGCTCCCCTTGGTGCTGGGGTGGCTCCCAAGTGGCAGACAGAGTGTAGTCCCAGCCATGGTTCCCTGGTGGGTTCCCTGTTGAGTTGAGGGCACGTGTGTCCACCCACATATACCCATTGCCCACATGCCATCAAAGCCTGCACGGTGCCTGGCCCAGAGGCAGCTCAGTGCCTATGGAGAGGGCACGGGTCATAGGTGGCCACCCACCTCCTGCCTGTCCCTGCCTGGTATAGGAGGCTGTGCTGGTGTGGACCTCCAGGAAGCAGGGCCTGTCTGTCCTGGTCTCTGCTGCCCATCATGCCCCGTGTGGCTCTCATGTTTGACTGCAAACCCCAGAGGCTGGAACCTTAAGGCAGACGGGCAGGGCCGAGGCATGGGTGCAGAGGCATGGTGAGACAGCCGCTGCAGGGCCGGAGCCTGGCTGTCTCGGCACCTCTGGCAGGGTCAGCATTGTCTCTCTGCTCTGATCACTGGGCCCTGGGTTCTTGCCCCATCGCTTGACCAGCGTCCAGGCTGCCGCAGTGAGTTCTCACTCCTGGCATGGCAGAGTGACACAGGGAGCCTGTTTCGACACCTACGGCCTGCTGGGCCCTAGGGCCCCTGCCCCGCCCCTGGAAGTCTGCTCTCCAGGGGAGCGGATTCCTGTGGGGGCCTACAGTTTATAGGTCAGACCCAGAGCAGGCTGCACTCCCACGGGGCCTGGGTACCTCTCCAGGCAAAGCAGCTCTCGTCCTGGGAGCTGTTGGGCACTGTGCTAGGGCTGAGGCTGCGTCCTCTCCTGTGCTGTGCAGAACACACTCGCTTGTTGGTGCACCATCCTGGTGTCCGGGCTGTGAGCAGTGCCGCATGTACGTGCGTGCTCATGTAGGGTGGGTCTTGTGTGGGAAGGCAAGGTCAGAAGTTCAGAAAGGCTCCCCCAGATAGGGCCGTGGGAGGGGCACTCAATGACGACTTAGGAGAGGTGGCCTGAGCTGATGGGCCAGACCTAAGGCCGGAGCAAGACCGGAGCTAGGGGAATGCAGGGGTCAGGAAAAGCAGGTAATTCTGGTCCGGGCATCCACATTGGGGTGGGGGAGGGACGGACAAGACCCAGGGGCCCTTGTTTCCCCTGACCCCTTCCTTGGTCCCTGCTGTGCCCCTATTCCATTCTTGATGTGGCCTCCACAGCCCTGTAATCCTTCCCAGGTACCCCAGCGTGGCCTGCGAGATCCTGACCTCGGACGTGCCCCAGATCAATGACGCCTTGGGTGCAGACGAGTCCCTCCTGAACCGGCTCTACGGCTTCCTGCAGAGCAGCGGCAGCCTCAACCCGCCGCTGGCCCGCTTCTTCCGCAAAGCAA